GGTAGTGTCACAGATTGTCTGTCGTGTGGAGAGTCTTCTGTCGATCTAGTGGATGTTTTTTTGGTTCTTCTTTGTCTGTCGATGGCCTTTTGAATGATCTTTGGTCCGTAGCCATTTTGTCGCAGAGCCTTTGTTGTCTCCCCCAATTCTGTTGCCCTGTTTGTTGGTTCTGTTAGGCGGAAACTGCGGGATATTAACGTGTTGGCTACGGATTGTAGCTGGGTAGGGTGGTGGTGTGATGCTGCTTGTAGGTAGCGGTTGATGTGTGTGGGTTTTCGGTAAACTGTATAACCCAAGTTGCCAGTTGGTTTTCGTGCCGTTTTTTGTCTCGAGCTGAAATCTAATAATTTTTTCCCTTGTATAATAAATAACTATTATTTCATCTGGGATGAGAGTTTTCAATATATAGAGTAAGAAATTCTCTATTGATCAGTATATACCACGACACAGAATAAATATCTATTGAGATACAGAGCTACAAAAACACATGACATTGAAACAGACAAAGTTTATATCTATCACAGTGAGCACTATCCAAATTTTAGCAAAATAACTGAACACTTATACATTTTTCAGATTCGGATTTCTACCTCATACCTACATTCTACCTCAAGAAATTAAATTGTTGAAGCAATCGTGGGAATTCAAAAACGGCAGCGGTGGTGAGATGTGGATCATCAAGCCTGTAAGTACTAAAACTATTGATACTAAATAAGTCTTCATTTAAAAAATTCAACAATATATTTTTCTCTCTTACAGCCAGCTTCTGCACGGGGGGTAGGCATTAAAGTGATAAATAAATGGTCCCAACTTCCAAAGAAAACTTCCATAGTTGTACAAAAGTATATTTCCAATCCTTATTTGATAAACGGAAGCAAGTTCGATCTCAGGCTGTACGTTGTGGTAACTAGCTTCCACCCGTTGACGATATACCTCTACCCAGATGGATTAGCAAGGTTTGCCAGCGGTAAGAAGTTGAATAAATTGAGTTTCTCTAGTAATGAAGTTTCTTTTAAGTAAAAATAAAATAAAATATTCAAGGCCAGTCATGTTTTCTACTGCTCTGGCTAGTAAAATGTTTTTTAACCATTACCAATTTCTCTTTTATTGATATTGTTTGTTTTTTCAGCGAAATACAGCGACGATGCCAAAGATTTGAAAGATAGATATATGCATTTAACAAATTACAGTATTAACAAACTTTCGAGCCAGTATACTGCCAATGAAGATGCAAATGCTTGCCAGGGTCATAAATGGTAAGTCATAAATCAGGTCAGGGCAGATTTGTTGTTGAATTTTCACCCCACTAACCTGAATGAATGATTATCTGTGTTATCAGAATTAAAAAAAAAGTATCACGTCTTGGGTTTGTAATTTGATAATATCTGGTAAATTAAATTTATTTTTGTTAATGAAGGGTTTTGGCCTTCTACTTCATCATACATTGCAGATCTGATGAAGACTTCACTGAAAGATTCATTTTTCTTGAAGCCAACTAATGAAACTGAAGTGCAAACTATAATTGCCTCATTGAAAAATTCAAATAGTTTAGATGCCTATAACATCAGTTCCGTTATAGTGAAGATGGCATGTGACACTCTTAGTAAGCCTATAGCACACCTAGCAAATATTTGCTTCTCATGTGGAATGTTTCCAGCGAACCTAATATTATGTCGAGCAACACCAATCCTAAAAAAGGGGGATCCTAATGATTGCAATAAGTATAGATTTATTACCATAACTCCCATTATATCAAAGATCATTGAAATTCTAGTCAAAAACAGACTTCTTGATTTCCTAGAATGGGGTAGATACTTGAATGATGCTCAATATGGTTTCAGATCAATGAGGTCTACATCACAAGCAATGACGGAAATTGTTCACACCATTGCCCATAATAAAGATTTGGGTATCAGCACTCGCTTACTTCTTTGCGATCTATCTAAAGCATTTGTCAGTGTTTCACATGACATATTGTTGAGAAAACTTGAAAAATATGGTATTAGAGGCATAGCATATGACCTAATACATTCTTTTTTGACAGACAGGCTGCAATATATATTATATAACAATGTAAAATCGGATACTAAAATTGTTAAGCATGGAGTACCTCAGGGATCCGTACTTGGTCCCCTTTTAATAATTGTATACATAAATGATCTTCCTATATATATCGATACAGCAGATGTTTCTTTTATATGCCGATGATGCAACTTTTGTCATAAGTAACCAACAAGTGGGGAAACTAGATCAGTTGTCATGTGAAACACTGGCAAAATGTGAAACATACTTTAGCGCTTATGTTCTATGCTTGAACGCAAATAAGACTCAGGAAATAACCATTGCAAATAGATCCCAAATGTCTGACGGTGACAAAGAGGTGTGTCTACTAGGATTCTACCTTGACAACAAATTAAATTGGAATGGACATACGACATCATTATGTAAAAAGCCCTCAAAGTGTCGCTACGCATTGAGAGGACTAAGGAGTTTGGTAACGAACGATGTGTTGAGAACTGCATATTTTGGCATGGCTCATTGCCACATAAACTATGGAATACTGATATGGGGTGCTTCCTCACATGCAAGTGAAGTATTCATTATCCAAAAAAAGATAATGAGAGATTTACTTGTTTCCAGAACCCATGCTACACTAATCTTCATAAAATGGGTCATATTTACATTACCTTCCATATATATACTAGAAGCAGTATTGTTTGTACATAAAAATAAATATAATAGTGGCTCCAGGATTCACAATTATGATACAGAACACAAAGATATCATCAGGCTATCGAAAATGCATTATCAAAACACAGTCAAACAAACGGAGTTTCTTCTAATAAAAATATAGAACACTTTGCCTAGTGAGTGGAAAGACCTTCATATGAAAGAATTGAAGTTCAAAGTAAAAAATTCCAAAATTCCCTTGTCAACAAAGGCTTCTATAAGATTGATGAGGTATTCAATTGTCAGTGGACCTAATATATGTACCTATATGTGAACATGTGTGTATATATGTGTATTTATATTGTGAGTCATAACTATTGTGAGATTTTTTTTATGAAAGAAAGAAAATTTTGTTATTGCAGATATTTTCTAATGTAACAGAAATTGTAATTTAAGATAATAAAATTTCTTTCTTTCTTTCTGGTGAAATGCTCATTTCTAGGATTAATTGAAACTAGAAATTTTGAGTTTAAAATCGAAATTTTGAGATGAAAGTCTTAATTCTGAGTTTCAAGTCGAAATTTCGGAATTAAAGTCGAGAATTTGGAAATAAAGTCGAAATTTCGAATATTGAAGTCATAGTTTCCAGGAAACAAATAATAAAAATATGTGGCCCTTTTGTGTTTTGGTAGAAAACGGATGACTGATCTTCAAGGTCGTTTCGAAAATTTCGATTTTTTTACCATGTATCTTTACTCAATAGTATTCATGAAGAAATGGGTGTGTGTAAAATAGGCTGGAGAGAGGTCTGACTCATAATAACCTGTGAATAGGAGATTAGGTTAAATTCATAAGATACTGATTACATAAACTATTTTGTGAATTCTTTCTATGCTGTACACAAGAACGAGTTAGTATTAAAAGAATTTACAAAATGGTTTATAGAATCGTAGTTTTATGAATTATATTGAATTTCGATTCTTTGAGTATATAATTCAATAACGACATTTTTCAATAACTGTAAACCTGATTCAGAGTGATGCTCATGTTTTTGAAATATTTGTATTTTACTACATGGTTCGTATTTTTGAAAACTAGTATCATCTCCAGACCGTCTCCAGACGGGATTCATTTATTGGCAGAGATAATGATTCATTTACTCCTTTCTTCCATTTTATTATGGTACCGGAGAAATCTTTATAGGTATATTTATAAATAGCTTATATTATCTGTAGGTTACATGTCTAGGTTACATCAACTCCTTATCTTGGTTTAATCTAGAAAACCCTTTCTTAATTTATGACTATATATCGAATGTATTTCAACATATTTTTTATACAGGACTCTCTCAAAATTGATGGAATATCTAGAAGAAGCTAACATCGATACCACAGCTTTGTGGAAGAATTTAAAGCAATTAGTCATTAAAACAATCATAGCCTGTGAAGCCCCTATAGTTCAATTATGCGAAGAGAATATGAATAATAAATATAACTGTTACGAACTATTCGGAATAGATGTCCTCTTGGATGAAAATCTCAAGCCTTGGTTACTAGAGGTAAGTCAATTGACAGATTACTTCATTTAATCATTTATCAAGATGTACCTTTTTTGAATTCTTTTGATATTTGCCTCCAAACTAATAAATGCGAATATTCTTGCATGGATGAATGGATTTCCTTTCTTTATTTTGCACTAAATATATATTATTTTGAGTTCTTGTGTTATAATGGGTGGTAATTTTGATTATATTTGATATATTTACTTGAATTGTTCATAATCCTGCTTTATTATTAAACAACACGAATTTTGATTAATTATTGGAGTTCACTCGTCATTTTAAACTTTCTCATTTTCCACGTTGTGTTCAGCAATAAATAATTATTCATCTTATTCGCTAACAAGATTATCCAGTTGGAGCAAGATTGATAGGTATCTCAATGTACTCACAACTGATGAATTTTTCCCAACTTATATGTTCATACTTTTGACAAAATATTTATTCAGCTTAACGTGATAGAATGTGCTCGATCGTTTTCCAAAAAAACGAGATCAACAAGGGAATATTTCTCCAAATTGAACTGGTCGATAGTAACTGATATAATTTTTTTGTAATATTTCCACTATGAAGGGTTTTACAAAAACCAGAGCACGTGTTTCCTAAACAATACAATAGGAGAATGTTAAATTAGTCATACTTTACCACCATTTTATACCTTAAAACGATGGTTCAAACCGCAAGGCCGGAATCACACGTTAAAAGGTAAGACCTCTTTAGTCCTTAGCTCGCACAAGTTTTCGGCTTTTGACAGTTGTTGTACATAACAGGCGACAGCTGGTTAACGGACAAACAGAACTGAATCAGATATTTAATTAATTAAACTACCTGAGATACTAGATATCTATTATTTATTGAATTATAGAAAAACCACCTTAATAAAATTAATAATATAATGTGATAGAAATAGCTAATACTCGATGAAAATACATGATAACATATTCACGTAACACTTTATTGTGAGATTTTTACCAAAAAGATTAAAAACCATTGCACGTGTTTCACTATAGAATAGCTTCTTCAGGTGTGTTCATATTAATGCCTGAAGAAGCTGTTATAAGTGAAACACATGTTGCGGTTTTGTAAACTATGCAAATATCACAATAAAATGTTACTCAAATACGTGCTTCATTCTGGGTATGATATCATGCTAAGAACAGATCAAGCAGAGGCGAATTTTTCAAATCGATTTGATCTTTCATTAGCTTTTAATTTAATTCAATTTAATTTTTTAATTTAATTTCCATTCTCTGCAGATTTTTGAATTTAATTGAAATTATGACCCTCTGTAGGGAGATGTTTTTTTCCTATGTTCTTTTATGCAAGCTTCAAATGTTTTTTCAGTTTGACCTATGTAAAACATCGGATATGATCCATATGATCGATCTAACACCAAACTCTTGTCTTTGATATTTTCAATTTGTATGCTTAAAAAAATTAAATGGGCAGAACATTTAAAGCACATATAAAAGAACATAGAAACAATTTAAAGATTGGAAAAATGAATTCAACCTATGCTACTTACTTCTTCACAGAGGGACACGAGTTCAATTATGAATTCAAGACTCTTTCATTGCCAGAAATAAGGTTAGAAAATGAACCGTCTGGAAAGTATGGAAATTTCAGGAATTCACTTGTCAAAATATATTTTTCTAAAAAGTACACTGTTTGGGCATATTGCACACAAAGCAATGCTCAATATGTGAATATTACTCTCAATTTGAACTTTCCATTTCAAACTATTCAAGTCGTTATCATTTCAATTAATAACTCATTTTTCAATGTAGGTAAATATCTCTCCTAGTCTTCATAGTTCTTCTCCTTTGGACTCTCATATAAAAGGTCCCTTAGTTCAAACTCTCTTCGAAATGGCCCAGTTCCATCTACCTCGGAAGTTACATCAAACAGTCGGCGATGCTCCCCAGTGTTTCGATCCAAAAATCTACACGACCAGTTTGAGCAAGAAGGAGAGAAATAAGCATGTTACCTTCACCCAATACGAAAGTAGGCAGGATTACTTGGAGGACATTTTGAGGAACTTGACGGGGGACGATGTTCGACATTTGACCAGGGCGGAAGACGAATACGTAGCTAAAGGGAGGTTTGAGAGGATTTTTCCGAACGGAGAGTCTCACAAGTATTTACCTTTCATTGAGGCTAGGTATTACAACAGGTTGTTTGACGCTTGGGAAGCAAAGTATGGATCACGGAGGGAGGAAGGTAGGCAATTACAGACACATTGTTAATCAATCAATCAAAAATGTACTTTATTGTCTCTTGTGGACAAAGTATTGTTCAAATTGTAATTTTATATTTACCTTCATTATATTATTTTTTATACTTTATTAAGCATTATCCTAAGCTTTGTCAATAACATTCTTTAGATAAGAAAGCATATATGTTATTATTTAACGATCTAAAAAAGCAATCGCTTGCCTTACTAATCAATGGAATGGCACTGGCATGCACGAGTTGTACAAAATTCCTTGGCGTTCATGTAGACAACTGTTCGAAGTGGTCTGACCATATCACAGTTGTTTGTGAAAAAATCAATCAAGGGTATTATGCAATCTCAAGAATTAAGAATTGTATGCCTTTACGCGCCATTTTAGATGTATATTACAGTCTGGTCTATAGCCATCTAAGTTATAATGTGATCCTATGGGGAAACAGTGTTGACAAAGATAGGGTTTTCAATGCCCAAAAAAAAGTTGTTAGGAAATTACTAGGCAGCCCTTGGAGGGAATCATTCAAGACATTTTTCATTAGTCATCAAATTTTAACCTTTCCCTGCATCTATATCTTCAAAATACTTTTATATGTTCGCGAATGTATAACAGACTGTACTAAGAACTCATTCTATCATAGCTACCCAACTCGATATGGATTCCTAAACATAAAACTATAAAATTCGAACATTCTCGCAAATATATGGGAATAAAATTATTCAATCGGTTACCAGACCATTTCAAACAGATGAACACTGTAGCATTTAAAAAAGCAGTTAAAACATTGCTTCTTTCTAAGGCCTACTATAGTATTGGCAAATTTCTCTCGGACCATCTCGACTGAATGGTTCATGTGGCTTTGGCATGACATATTCAATTTTTATAACTACAATTGTTTTAA